AAAAAATATATTACGGGGTTCGCAAAGTACCATCAAAGTCATATTGTAAATTTTCGTAGTGTTAAAAAATAGTTGGTTGTGGTTTCAGGTTCTCTAAACATTTATTATAGCTTTTAAAGTTTACGACATACAACAATACGACACTTACAACACCGTTGTGAATCCCTCAATAGATTTTCGAGTATTCTATACCATTTCTACGAAAATACGTTTTTTCCCCATACAAAAATACATGGAAAACTTTGAGCGCTTTGAGTGACCTCTAAATATTTTTGATTTCAAAATAAAAAATTAGGGGTAAACTTTTTTTCGATATACTAGGGGGGCTGAGAGCATTACAAATCTGACTTTACTGTTTTTGGACCACCCTAGTGTACACATCATTTTACACAGAAGCCAATAAATTATTTAATGTTTATGACATTTTTGAATAGCAATAATAAGATTATTTCCATTTTCAGTGTTTAAATAGTAGAAGAATTCTATACATTTCATTTTAAAATTATTTTTAATATGAAGTTCACTTTAAATAATTGTAATTAGAAGCCGGTTTCTTTCTTTGCGCCAGCAAGCAAACTTTATACTTAAGATCCTTTCAGTTGCTTCGTTTGAGAGTAAAATTACATAGTTTTTAAAACTGTGGAAAAGTAGCACTATTTAAGGACTTCATATATAATTCCTCATGGCTTAAATTAATTTTTTCAACTACGCAAAAACTTTTAAAGACTAAGAATTCGCTAAAAATAGCATCTAACAATATCTCTTTTATGTAAAACTCTTTAACAATGTCAGTAAATTGTGAAAAAAAGATTCGTAAGTTATAGGCAAAAGCGATTCGAATATTCAAATTTGTTGTCGTTAAACTGAAAGTTATTTTTGAGATAACTAGCAACACTCGACAAAAAAAGTCAGACTTCTAAATAATTTAAGCTCCATCATATTATCGCAACTGGTACGTAACGACCCGGCGATATGCCCATAAAACGATTGAACTTTTTGTTGTATTAATTTCTTGGGCATATGAAACATTATCTGAAACATGTCAACAATAATTAAATTATTTTCTTCTTGCTTTTTACAGTAGAGTTTAAAGGTCTGATTATGCATACTTCGCATAACAACCATTTGTACCAGTCCAATAAAAATGTAACTTAAGAAAATGTGAAGCAAAATCTAAACCCAACAGATCGCCAAGTTTTAAAAAGTTCTGCTAATTTATGGGTAATGGAATACATACAAAGTACATACGAAATTACAGTTTAAAGTTTATGCGAAGTTGTGCGAAGTTATGCGAAGTATGCATAATCAGACCATAACGAAGTTCCAACGTTATGTAAAAACCTTAAGAAAATCTTAAAGTAACAGGCAAAAGGAGGCACTAAAAAAGACAAAAACCGAATAATAATCAAAAAATACATTTATTCTAGAAATGTTTATTTTTCAAGTAAAAAGAGAAAAACTATGAACTAGTTTCATTATATGAAAAATTTCTACTATGAATCTTTCAGCCGCACTCAGAAACGTTCATTAAATTAGCTCTAACGGGCACTTAACTAATGATCGGTTAATTAGTTAATTAATGTTTCCAGAGTCAAAAATTTTGAAATTAAAAATTTAAGTATGGCCCCGGTTGCGGCCCTTTTTTTGTGGCATCACTCACTTTTTCGTTCAGTTTGAAATCAAATATAAAAATAATTACTTATTTGTTTTTGCGCGCACAGCCTCAACAGTCGCAATGGCTGAGTGAGCAAAGAGCTGGCGTGCCATTCGGGAGATTCGAGTTCGAGTCCTAGGGCAGAAAATTTTTCTTTTTCCTTTTTTTATTTATTTTATTTTCTTGTTAAATTTTTAAAAACTAATTTTATTTACGATTTGTATATTTGGAGCTTTTCGGCCGTTGATTTTAAAGCAAAAACGTTGGTTTTTCTTT